CCTGAGAGGAGAATGGAGGAGAAGGAACTGCGGCGTGGTCATCCCCCCCGGGGGGAGTAATTTCTCACTTTCTGTCTCTGCGTTTCTCTGTCTCTTCAGCCAGTGCATGGACTCTATAGCAAAAAAATCTCTCTAAATAATAATGATGATTAAGAAAATTAAATAAATAATTCTTTAAAAATTCAGCTTGGGGAACCAGCAGTTAGCGTAATGGCTATGTCGCTGGACTCCCACGTAGTCGACCGCGGTTCGTGTCCCGGACCCCAGGACCCGGTGGCTTAAAACTCACGCCGGGCGCGTGTGCGTGCGTGCCCAAGATCCCGAGAGGAGAATGGAGGAGAAGGGATTGCGGCGTGACCATCCCCCCTGGGGGGTGATTTCTCGCTTTCTGTCTCTATGTCTCTCTCTGTCTGTCTGGTGAGCGCACGTGCCCTACAGTGAAAAAAATCTCTCCAAAAAAAAAAAAATTCAGCTTGGAGGGCCAGCAGGTGGCGTGGTGGTTAATGTGCTGGACACTCACATGGCTAACCATGGTTCGAGTCCTGGACCCGGTGGTTTGCTTTCTCACTTTCCTTCCCTTTGTGTGTTTGTCTGTGATCAAATGGAAATAAATTAATGAATAAATAAAGTAAAAAAGAAATCTTCAGCTTGGACAAGAGCCATGTCTTTTTCCCCTCATGTGTGTGTGTATGTGTGTGTTTTAATTTTGTTTTTGGTAGAGGGTATGTGTGCTTGACAGAGAGGGAAAATGAGAGAACACCCCCCATGGGGGACGGCCACACTGCAATCCCTTCTCCATCTCTCCCTCCTTTCGGGAGTTTGGGCAAGCACACACACATGTCGTTGTGTTTTTCTTTTCTTTTTAAATTAATTTATTCATTCAGTTATTTTAATTTGACCAGAGAGAGAGACAGAGAGAGAGAAAAAGTGAAAAAGGAAGCCACCAGGTCCAGGACTCAACCCGTGGTCGGCCATGTGGGAGTGTCCAGCACTTTAACCACCACGCCACCTGCTGGCTCCCCGCCATTGTGTTTTTCAATCTGCTGGGTCCGGGTCTCAAACCACAGTCAGCCATGTGGGATCCAGTGCCTTAACCTCCACACCACCTGATGGCTCATTCCCCCCCCCTTTTTATTTATAATAGAACATGTTTACACACCAGAGAGAGAAGGAGAGAGGGCCCCTCCATGAGGTCTGGTCAGGACTAGAAAATCCCCTTCCTCCCATCCCAACTACCCACAGGTATGCCTGGCATGTTTCAGGCTAACCAGGCCGGAGATTTTTTTAAATTAATTAATTTATGTATTATTTTTAATTGTTGTTTTAAAAGAATTACTTATTCCTTTAATTCCATTTGTTATTTATTTATTTATTTATTATTTTGACCAGAGAAAGAGAAAGGGAAAAAGCAAGCCGCCAGGTCCAGGACTCGAGCGTGACTGGCAGAATCCAACACCTTTAACGCTCACTCCCCCAGCCAGCCCCCCCCCCTTTTTTTTTTAAGAAGTTTGTGCCTTAGGACACATGCACTCACGGCAGAGAGAGACAGAGAGTGTGAGGGAAAGTGAGAAATCACCCCCGGGGGCAAGGGGATGGCCATGCCACAATCCCTGTGTCTCAAGAAACCAAACGCGGGGACTAGCAGTTGGTGTAATGGCTATGTCTCTGGACTCCCATGTAGTTGACCTCTGTTCGTGTCCCAGACCTGGTGGCTTAAAACTCACGCAGGGCGCGTGTGCGTGCGTGCCCAAGATCCCAAGAGGAGAATGGAGGAGAAGGGATTGCGGTGTGGCCATCCCCCCTGGGGGGTAACTTCTCACTTTCTGTCTCTGTCTCTGTCTGTCTGGCGAGTGCACACGCCCTATAGCAAAAACCTCTCCAAAAAAAAAAAAAAGAAAAGAAACCAAATGCCACTTGGAGAGTAGGACTCAAGTTTATTACGCCAGTAGACTCAAGGATTTCAGTTCAGATTCTAAATTTGAAGCCCTGATTTGAGATAGGATAAGGGCTTATTTTTATTTATTTATTTAGAACTATTTTATTTTACTTATTTTAATTTGAACAGAGAGGGATGGAGTGAGACAGAGAGAGGGCAAGTGAAAAAGCAAGCCACCAGATCCGGGACTTGAACCATGTTCGGCCATATGGGAGTCCAGTGCCCTTAACCACCACGCCACCTGCCAGCCCCAAAGAGGTTTTACATATATACATATAGTTTAATAACTTTATTTAACTTTTTTTTTTTGAGAGGTTTTTGCTATAGGGCATGTGCACTCGCCAGAAAGACAGAGAGAGACAGAAAGTGAGAAATCAACCCCCAGGGGGGATGGCCACGCCGCAATCCCTTCTCCTCCATTCTCCTCTCGGGATCTTGGGCATGCAAAAACATGCACAGCGAGAGTTTAAGCCACCGGGTCCAAGACTTGAACTGCAGTCAACTACATGGGAGTCCAGCTAACTGCTGGTCCCTTATTTAACTTCTTAAAAAAAAGAATTATTTATTTATTTAATTCCATTTCTTCTTCTTATTATTATTTTTTTAAATTTGACTAGAGAGAGAGAGAGAAACAGAAAGCGAGAAAGCAAGCCACCAGGTCCAGGACTCGAACCATCGTCAGCCATGTGGGAATCCAGTGTCCCTATCCACCACACCACCTTCTGGCTTCAATAACTTTATTTAACTCTATTTATTTATTTGTTTAATTTGACCACTGAGGGACAAGATGACAGAGAGAGAGGAAAAAAATGAGACAGCAAGCTGCCAGGTCCGGGACTCGAACCATAGTCACCCTGCGGGAGTCCAACGCCCTTAACCACCACACCGCCTGCTGGCCCCCAGCTTAAGTTTTTAAGCTACCGGATCTGGGACTCAAACCAAGGTCGCCTATATGTGAGTCCAGTGACATAACCATTACACCATCTGCTGGTCCCACCCTGGGCTTTTTCATCAAGATCATCCTCCACCTCTTGTGACTTGCTGGCTGAGTGGCTTTAATGAAAGGCTTTTGGGATATAGGGGTGTCTGACTGAGATTCTAGGGGTGTTTTTCTCTGCCTTCCTTAGCCCTTCACCTTTGACCCTGTTAAACACACACCCTGGAAAGACTGATACAAGGAAATCTGGGTTGTCACCAGGCCAAGCAAAGAAGCCAGTGGAAAAACAATTAGGATTGTTCTTGCTGTCACCCCTGGCCACCGGATGTCAATAACTGGTCTGATTTCCCACAAGAAGGTCTGGATCCACTGGCCCTGTGGACAGTCCCCCAGCCCCTTTGAGTTCAGTGTGTCTCGAAAAGGAACCTGCTATAGGGTGGATGTGCTCGCTGGAGAGACAGAGAGAGACAGAGAGACAGAGAGCAAGAAATCACCCCCCAAGGGGGATGGCCACGCCGCAATCCCTTCTCCTCTATTCTCTTCTCAGGATTTTAGGCAGGCACGCACACCTGGCATGAGTTTTAAGCTGCTGGGTCCTGGGGCTTGAACAGCATTCAACTACATGGGAACCTAGTGATTTAAGTGTTACACCCTTTGCTGGTCCCTATACATAATTCTTAAAAAGAATAATAACAGGGAACCAGCAGTTAGCATATGGGCTATGTCTCTGGACTCCCACGTAGTCGACCGCGGTTCGTGTCCCGGACCCTGTGGCTTGAACTCACGCCGGGCATGTGTGCGTGCGTGCGTGCCCAAGATCCCGAGCTTAAACTCACGCCAGGCACGTGTGCGTGCGTGCCCAAGATCCCGAGAGGAGAATGGAGGAGAAGGGATTGCGGCGTGGCCATCCTCCCTGGGAGGTGATTGCTCGCTTTCTGTCTCTCTCTGTCTTTATGGCGAGTGCATGTGCCTTATAGCAAAAAACCTCTCTCTCAAAAGAAAAAAAAAAAAAAAGAACAGAAAGCCTTTTGCTGGTGGCTCCAGGGGAACAGGGGTCTGGGTCACCTAGTTCGTAGGCTGTGCAGCCTTGCTGGAGTGAGAAAGGAGACACTCAGTCTCCCAGCTTCTCACTGGGTCCAGTCCCGCTCTCTGCTCCTGCTCACACACCTTCCATGGCTCCCTATGGGCCTTTTATTGGGAACAGAGATGCTGAGCGAACCCCCACTGGGACACCGTGAACATCCCATGTGCCCGAGCAAAACCCAACGCCCTTGATCCTGATGCTGGTCCAACATTCCACCTTGCAACCTCAGTTCCCCCAGCTCGGAACCGGACCGACCATGAAAACCTCTGCCTCTTCGGGTCGTGGGACAGGTGCGATCTCAAGGCACCAGGCGCTCAGTAACTCCCAGATGACAGGCGAGGACTTGCAACGGGGCATCCCAGGCTGTGGGAATCTCGCTGGCCAGCACCGAGCAGGAAAGGGTCAAGGTCATTAAACCCTCAATCGAAGGAAGCAAAACTCACCGCCAGCTGCTTTGCGGGGGAAATGGAAACTGAAAGTCTTAGCTGGACTCTGCCTGCAGATGTTTTATTCAAATGCCTGCTAAGCCCGCAGGTCAGTGCGTTTCCCCTGGTTGGCTATTAGCCCTATGCTAATGACGGGGCGGGCCCGAGGGCACTGATTAGCCCTATGCTAATAAAGGGGCGGTCTTGGAGCAAACGATTAGCTCTATGCTAATAAGGAGCGATTTGGGCGTCAGTGATTAGCCCTATGCTAATGAGGAGGCGGCGCTGGAGGCTCTGGTAGTCGCTCTATGCTAATGAAGGGACGTCCCGGGAAAACGCTGCTGGCTCTATGCTAATGAGGGGGCGGCCCCGAGGGCAGTGATTAGCCCTATGCTAATAAAGGGGCGGTCTTGGAGCCAGGCGGTGCTGCGGGCTCTGGTAGCCGCTCTATGCTAATGAAGGGACGTCCCGGGAAAACGCTGCGGGCTCTATGCTAATGAGGGGCGGACCGTCGAAGTTTCCAGCGCTCGTTCCTAACTTCTGTCCAAACTCTCCATCTCAGAAGGGCTCTGCATGGCACCCACGTTTTATCACTATTTGCCGGTGCCCATGGGTGACCTGAAGGACCAAGAGTCAGCGTTGGGGGGCCGAAGGCTGCTGATAGTGGTCATCTTGGGGTTACTCCTGGTGGTGGGACTGGTGGTGGCCTTGGCTGTGTTCGCCGCCAGGGCCAACAGTGAGGCCTGCCTGGATGGCCTCAGGGCAGAAGTGGAGTGTCACAATGTCACCCACCTCCTGCAAAGGCAGCTGACCCAAGCCCAGGATGGGGTGCTGAAGGCTGAGACCCAGGCTGCCACCTGCAACCAGACCCTGGTAAGCCACTCAAGTGTCGTTCAGGGACTTTGTGCTTGGGGGAGGTAGGGGAGGCGGGCCTTGAAG